TATCCATGTTGAATTTTGACAGGAATTTCAAAAATTTTAGCAAAGATTCAAATCCATCACAATGGATCAACATTTTTAGAAGGAGTTCATAATGAAAAGAACTCATCTGAAGAGGGAAGAAGAAGTTCATAATGAGAAGAGCTTGTTCAACCTTTTGCTTCAATTCATCACTCGATGGATCAACATTGCCAGGTAGAAGTTCATAATGAGAAGAACTCATCTGAAGAGGAAGAATAAATTCATAATGAGAAGAATTTGTTCAACCTTTTGCTTCAATTCATCACTCGATGGATCAGCATTGCCAGGTAGAAGTTCATAATGAGAAGAACTCATCTGAAGAGGAAGAAGAAATTCATAATGAGAAGAGCTTGTTCAACCTTTTGCTCAAATCCATCACTTGATGGATCAGCATTTCCAGAGAAAGTTCATAATGAGAAGAACTCATCTGAAGAGGGAAGAAGAAGTTCATAATGAGAAGAGCTTGTTCAACCTTTTGCTTCAATTCATCACTCAATGGATCAGCATTGCCAAGTAAAAGTTCATAATGAGAAGAACTCATCTGAAGAGGAAGAAGAAATTCATAATGAGAAGAATTTGTTCAACCTTTTGCTTCAATTCATCACTCGATGGATCAACATTGCTAGGTAGAAGTTCATAATGAGAAGAACTCATCTGAAGAGGAAGAAGAAGTTCATAATAAGAAGAACTTGTTCAACCTTTTGCATGACTCTATTACGGAAAGAGATAGATCAACATCAACTTTTCTAGAGAAAGTTCATGATGAAAAGAACTTATCTGAAGAGGAAGAAGAAATTCATCCGAGAAGAACTTGTTCAACCTTTACATGATTATATAACATAAGGAGATAAATTGTCATCCCCAGTGGAAAAGTTCATAATAAGAAGAACTAATCCCAAAGAAGAAGAATTTGTTCAACATTTCCATCATAATCAAGTGAAGTCAAATGAAAAAAAACTTATTATCTTTTCGACTTTGCCCTATTCTTGTTAATATAAGAATAAGCAAAGAGGGGAAACTGAAGATACTCATTTTTTTATTTGAATATTATTTATATTTTATTATTATTATTATTATTATTATTATTAAAAAAATTATTTACTATTCTAGACAGGCCCAATACCCTAGGCCCACTTACAATCAAACCCAAACCGGGAGCCCAATGGAAACCCTAAACTAATTAGGGTTTATATCATCCCAGCTGTCGTTCTCCTTTCCAGCCGTTGGATCTAGGTTAGATCCAACGGCCCAGATGGTTCCAGATGCAAACCCTAGGGTATGATATCCTAGGACCACACGGCGCCACCTCTGCTTCCAACCGCTCCACATTGTCAATGCTGCTGCCACGACGTCCACCAAAGGCTTCCAGAAGAGCCCTTCCAGCCGCACACGTCGCTCTACAGCGAGTCACCACTGGAAGTCTGGTGACTCACTAAACAACCACCTTATTAACTGGTCCGAGAGCCACACTGTCGATGGCTATAAAAGCCATCGACCACCTGCAAACAAGAGGAGACCAACAACCACAGATAAGAAAAAAGAAAAAAAAATCCAGCAACCATGAATTACCAAAATAGTAAGGAAAAGAGAGAAGAGAAACTTACCGAGGGAACATCGGTCATCAGAGTCTCCTTGTGCCGTCGGAAAACCAAGAGTCGAAGGTAAAAAAAATTAGATCTACGCATTTTAGCAGTGTTTTAGGTTAAAAAACCTATGGATTTAGCCTTAAGGAAAATCGGGCATTAATTTGGGATGGGTTTTGTAATTTCCAGCCACCGGATGTGGTGGCCGGTGGTGGATTTAACGGTGGCCTGCCAGTTCTCTCTCTCTCAGTTCTAAAGAGAATCGAGAGAGTTTAAAACTCTCCCAGTTTAGAGAGATAAAAGAAAAGAGAGAAATGGGAAGATGGCCCTTCGAGCCAGCCATAATAGGGCATTTATACCCTTTCTTAAACGGCGTCGTTTAAGGGAGGGGTCTACGTGTAATTTCAAAATATTTAAATCACACGCGAAGTCACTCTGACTTTGTAAACTTCCATTTTAGTCACTACAATAAACTTTCATATATTTTAATTCATTCTTCAAATTTTATTTTATTGTGTTTTAGTCCAAACCAGTATATAAATATATATTTAAGGTAAATAACATATTTAGTCCTTTAATTTTAATAATTAATATTTTAATCCAGAAAGTATGTTTTAATTTATCTTAATTTAATATTTGAATTTAATATAATTTTAATTTAGTCACTAAATTAATAAATAGGAAAAATAGCATAATTAGACACTGAAATTTTTAATATATTCTAATTTAGTCATTAGCTTTAAAATTATTGGTTTTTTTATTATTTTAATTTCATTTATTTTAATAGTTGATTTAATTTTATATATTTATTTTCAATATATTATTATTAATATATGTATATAGTAAATAATATTTATTTATTTTATTTTTTATATAAATTATTTTTATAGAAAAAATATATAATAATAATCATATTTTAATAATATTAAAGAAAAAGACTGTCTTAAAGCACCTAGAAGTCCTTTTCTGATATTTCTAAGTAAATAAATATCTTATTTATAAAAATAAATATATATATATATATATATATTCTTAAAATAAATTTGAAATAACATGATTAATAATTAAATATATTTTTGAATTTATAAATTTCCAATAATAGAGACAAATTATAATTAATGAAGTACCAATTTTGGGCGTTGTGGGGGTGCTAATCCTTCCCCAAACGTAATTGACCACGAATCCCTTTTTTATTATAAAAAGAACGAATTTTTGGTTTATACGCAGATCAGTTTAAATTATGTTTTCTTAAAAACTATTTTAAAAGATTATTTTTAGGTATTTGTAGGCCTGTAAACGAACCGAACGCACATGAACGAAGGTATGTTCATGTTCGTTCATTTAATAAATAAACAAACATAAACGAACACGAACATAAACGAATAAATTTTTTTTGTTCATGTTCGTTTATTAAGGAATATAACTTGTTCATGTTAGTTCGTTTAATAAATAAACGAAGATAAACGAACACGAAGATAAACGAACACGAACATAAATGAACACGAACATAAATGAACACGAACATAAACGTTGGAGACCCTACCTTCTGTTGTTCTTTCATGAAAAATAGTCGACAATGCAAATCAATCAAATCTACGTTATTCTAATAAATTCGCCGGCTAAAAGTTTTGTGACATCAATGTCAGACTTTAGTGAGGTTTGTTAATAATGGTCCTTTCCGTTGACAGAGTAGAAAATTTAACAGCATGAAGATTTCGAACGGTACAAATTGGACTACAAGGCAATAACATAGATCCGAAATTCCTTCGATGCTACATATCGTAACTGATATTATTGCTAAACCACCACTCACAATTTTAACGTACCTAAAGTCTACTCCACAACTAAAGGTCACACAATAACTATGAAAACAAAAGTTCATTGTCAAAGTGTATTTTCTACTTATTAATGGGTTCTTCCTGAAAAACCCATTACTTCGCTATTACACTCTTTTTCAGAAATTGCATAGAAACCTTTGTTTTGTTTTCTGGCAAATTCTATATATTTTTCTCTTTACTGATGCTCATATACTTCTGATTGTTACCTTTATCTTCCCATCTATTTCTAGAAAGAAGTATGATATTTTCTTTAGTTTTAGATGTGAAGATACCCACAATAACTTTATATATCAACTATTAAGCCAAATAAAACAGATAAAGAGATGAAAATAGACCTGTAAAGTTCAGATTGCACTATAATATAACTTGTTTTGAAGCTTTCAGCGATCGTCTTCACTCTCCAATGAATATTAGGGTTTGAGAAAAAAAGGGGGGAAATGAATATAGGTGCGAGTTGCCTCACGAGTTAACATATTGGATTTAATCTCCAAATAAAATTGGGTTAATTATGGAGTTGGTCATCAGAATATAAAATTAATTAATATTTTTAAGATACTTACAAATTGGTCACCAAAATTGATTTAAAAAGACTGGGTTAAACATAAATGAATGATCATAAATGAACATAACCGAACAAACATAAACGAACATAACCGAATGTTCACAAACATAAATGAACGAACGAGACCTATGTTCATGTTCTTTCATTTAATTAAACGAACAAAAAATCTTGTTCATGTTCGTTCATTTAGTAAATAAACACACATAAACGAACTTCCCACCGCACGGTTCATGAACGGTTCGTTGAACGTTCAGTTCATTTACAGGCCTAGGTATTTGACCTACCTAACCAAAAAGGTCAATGGCGACTCCAAAATATTTCTAAAACACCATTTTTTATCCACATTACTTTTTCCAACCAAGTAAAATTCGTACTCGGACGAAAACCGGCTACGACAACTTCCTTGCTCTTTCTTTCTTTTGTAACCAAAAAAAAAAAAAAAAAGACAGAGCAGAAGCAGCGTTGAGGATCTTTTGACATTAAATAAAACAAAACACAACCTCTACTTTTCGTCAGTCATTCCTTTTTTAATTGTTATTTTTCTAAAACATTCTCATTTAATATATTTCTATTTTTCATATATTCTTAAGTAAAATATTTAGTTTGATTTTTTCATGTGATAAATACTTTTAAAATTTTATTTTTATTTTAAATTAATTTAATTCAACTTTTAAGTAAGTGAAAGTCTATATAATTATTAAAATCTGAAAGCGGTATACCCTAAATTTAAATAAATCAACTAAAAGAAGTAATAAGGAAAGGACAAGAATAAAGAGCTTTTCCATTATGAGGTCAAAAAGAGAAGCCCACCTTCAGTACACACACTCATGATTCCACCCACATTCAAATAAACATATATATTCAGCCTTACAGCATAAATTCTTCAAATTAAAATAAGACCGAAAGAGAATTAATCTTGTAATATTGTTTAAGTAGTCAAAGCAACCTTTCTTTTCATCCTTCATAAACTGAAAGAAACATTCTGAGAACAGCTGCACACAAACAAAAAATAAGGTTAATTTGTTCTCTTTACTCCATTTTACTTTCTATCTCTTCAATTAATGGATGCATCTAAATGGTCACAGGTAGGTCGAGTTCATCTTGATAAAGGTTTCACTTTTTTTCTATCTGCTTGATGACTGATAAAGAGATGGAAAAAGGTTTCATTTGTATTACCTGATATTAATGTTTTCTTGTTTTTCGCTCGTGTTTCAAGTTAATATGTCTAGTTCTTTTGTGTTAATAGTGAAATATTGGATTTAAATTGAGGGTGTGGTTGCGTTTTTAGTTATGTTTATCATGATTTTAGACATAAAATTCATTATTGCGGTGGTTGCGAGTATCCCGGTCATACAGTAACGGTGTCGGATAAAACCTAAACCGTTATTCCGATAGCCTATTTAATTCCTTGAGTGAAATGATTGTTCTCGTTCTCTCATTTATGCATGTGTCCAGGGTTTTCAGGATTTTTGCGTAGTGAACGCCATGGAAAAGATGGTTCCTAACACAAGGGGACCGATGTTAGAGAGAAAAACAAGGCCACCAGAGCAATTGAATTGCCCAAGATGCAACTCAACCAACACCAAGTTCTGTTATTACAACAACTACAGCCTCACACAGCCAAGATACTTCTGCAAGACTTGCAGAAGGTACTGGACTGAAGGTGGTTCTCTGAGGAATGTTCCGGTCGGAGGCGGTTCGCGAAAGAACCGAAGATCATTGCTATCAAACTCTTCTTCTTCCTATCCTTCACCCAAACTGTCGGATCTACAGCCAAATACTTTCTCGCACTTGTCTTCTCAAAACCCTGAGCTCCATAATGGCCAAAATGATCTTAACCTGGGCTTCCCTGGTATGCAACCGAGCCATGGTCTATCTCAGTATCTACAAGTTGGTAAAGTTGAGATCAATGATCACCAGCAAAAACACGCATCGAAAGGATTGAATTCTTTGGTTCCAGCACCCGCACCAAACTCGACTGTTGCACCTTCCTCAACTGGGTTCTCCATGCAAGACTACAAACCAACCCTTAGTTTTTCAATTGATGGACTTGAAAATCCAGGATCAGGCATCCATGGTGTTCAAGAGAATGGAGGAAGGGTTTTCTTCCCTTTTGGTGAAATGAAACCGATTTCAACAAGTACTAACGAAGTTGATCAAAACAAAGAGCAAGGCCATTCAGCTGGATATTGGACCAATGGAGTGCTAGGAGGAGGATCATGGTAAAGGATATCATCATCCAATTGAGTTTTTTTACTTGTTTAGGACTAACAGATGATATATATATAGGATATAATTAAGGTTTTTCTTTTTTTTTTCGTTATCTCCCACTCTTATCTGGACAATGTAAACAGATTGGAGCCATTTTGGGTTTAGTTTCAACTTTGAAGAAGCTGCGACTGATTTTTGAAAGAGTAAACAAGATGTATGATTATATATTTCATTAAGATTGTGTTAGTGGTTTTATTTATGCTTCTAACGTGTGATTACCAGCATTGAATTAATGTCTTAAACAAAGATGAAATGATTTATGGTGGAGCCATTGCGGAAGGGCAAGCAATTGCTGTTTTAGGACAATAAGATACCTCCTTATATAACAAATTGTGCTTTGAAAGAATCGGTTCACCTGCTCCACCTTTAATGCTTTACCTACTTTGTGTGTGTTTATATATTCGATGCCCACTTAAGTTAGATTTAAAGCCATTTTAAGGGAAGCTGGTAGCTCTAACGTTAGTCCCATTTAAATGAATAATTAGTGTATCCGTGACATGCGCATTCTTACTCGAGTTTTTCTTCGTAATATTCTTTTTTCTAATACAGAACACAATCCAGTTGGGTATTGCTTTTGAATAGCGATTTTAGAAAGTGTTAGAAAAATACTTTTAGGATAAATTACACTGGTGATCTTTAAATTATTGTTCATTTTTTTTATTATAAACGTTTTATCAATCAGACCATTTAACTATTTAAATGTGTTAATAAACCATTGGCCGTTGTTTTTTATTGAAGGTGGTGACGTGTCAGTTAATAAAATTGTCATAATTATACATTTGGTCCTTAGTACTTATATATTCTATTATGAGTCCTAATTTTAATTTAATTTAAAAAATCAATCCTCTAATCTAGAAGTACCGCGTGTCAGTAGATTATTAGAGTGTTAATTTCATTAATTTTTATATTTTAATTAATTAAAATTTTTCACCAATCAGGTGGTGACACGTATCACCATGTGTAAAGAGAAAAGAAAATTAGAATAGAAATGAGGCATGGGGGAATTGAACCAAATTCTAAATTGCACAATCTTCTCTATATTGTGTTTGAGACTTTTCACACATACATACATACATATAATTATTAAAATAAATTTAATACATATATATATATATATATATATAAATAATAGTCAATGAAATATTAAAAAAAATGAGTATAATATTTTTATTTTTTAAATTAAATTATTTTTAAATACTAATAAATAAATTGTATTAAAAATTATTAGAAAAATTCAAAGCCACAAAAATAACTTAAATCATAAAAAAATATAATCTGCTTAAAATTTTGTCTTTAAAACTTTATTAAAATTATTTTTCATTTATAATTATTTAAAATAATTGTGAAAAAGAAAAATTATTTAATTTAAAATACAAGAATATTATATTCATTTTTATTTTTAAATCTTTTATTAAGTACAATTTAATATATATAGATATATATATGAAATATAATTTAGTTATTAAATTTGTTTTAATGATTTATTTACGTCATTAACAAATATATATATATATATATATATATATGATGTTATAAGTATTATATTTAAATTATGTTATTTGCAGGTTAAAGTTCTTCCAATTCAAGTGAAAGACCTAGGTTCATATCTTACCAATTCCTTGTGATTCTCTTTTGTTAGGCCATAATTTCAAACACAACATATAAAATATTGTGCAATTTGAAACTAAATGGGTGGCTTGCCCCAATGGTAAAGGTGTACCTAGGGACTATTTTGGTCCCTGGTTGGATTCCCCCATGCATAATTTCAAATCTAATTACCGGGAAAATTTATTTAATTAAAATATTAAAATTAATTAAATTAATTCTCCAATAATATAGTGATACATGTCACTTAGAAATATGTCATAATAATCTGTGGCACCTCCAAATTGGAGGGTTAATTTTTAAATTAAATTAAAATTTATGACTAAATTGATATAATATATAAGTATTGAGGATCAAATGTATAATTATGTTAATTTTATTAATTAACACATCACCACCTCCATTAAAAATTAAGAGTCAGTGTCGTGATTGAAACATTTAAATGGTTGAGTGGTATGATTGATCAAATCGAAACGTTGATGGTCAAAATGAAAATAGACAATAGTTTAATTGTCACCTCATGTAGTTTACCCATACTTTTAAAAGTGTTTTTCAAAAGTATAATTTAAAATTTAATTATTTGAGATTGATATTAAAAAAGATTTTTGAAAAGATAAAATGTCTATTACAGATATTATGTTGTAAATTAAAAATATCACAGTGTTACACTTATTAATATTATGATATATAAAATATATCAACTTTACTATAATAAAAATATAAAAAATATTTTAAAATAACTCATTAATAATATTTTTGCATATGATGTATCTTATTAAGAAAAATATATTATCAATACTTTTTAACATGTGAACTTAAAGTTAGTACGTAATAATAATCATTTTGATTTAACCACATCTACTCATTTAACATTTGAATTTTAAGATAATATTTCAATTATTTTGGTTTAGCCATAATCACTCATTTAAAATTTAAAATTTAAAATAAAATAATTTAAATGATATATTTATCTTTATAACCATTCAAAAATAATATATATATATATATATGAATATATTATAAATAAATTCAAAAGTGATTATTATTATAAATGAAATATATCAATTTAGACAATAATAAAGATATAAAAAATACAAATAAATTTTTTTAAAATAAATCACCATTAATATTTTAAAATATAAATCATAAATTTATTTAATTTTAAGTAATTAAAATAAACTATTAAGCAATAAGTTATTTCTTAAAGATGTTAGTATTAAATTATTGAAATAAAATGCAAATATATAATTAATAAAGAAAGCTGAATTTGAAAGTTATTTTCTAGGATAAATGAGTGAAGATGATGCATTAGTAAGGGTAAAAATAAATTTGCTTATAAACTCAAAGTTGGAAATGAAAAAACAGTAAATCTCAACTTTTGTGGTTGGTTTCAAAATACCATATTCACAACATTTTTTTCTTTCAATTTTTACCTGTTTGACATTGATTTTGTTGTCAAAACAAACCTTTTAACTAAAAGTGCTTTTAGACAACATTACCAAACGTACCATAGAAACTTGGGATAGCCTCTTGATTAATAAGATTAACAACCTAAGATGGGGGCTCATAGAAACAGGTCTCCCAACACTCTTTCCACGCAACATTGATGCCAACTTATTAGCTACGTTGTTTGTACTTCTCCTGAATGGTTTAAGGAAGATCTCACATATATGTTTCGAAATCAATATTATAGAATCAACCAAAGATACATTGCATGAAGAATTCAAACCTTTTTTCAACAGTCTCACAGTCTCCAAGTTATCGATATTGATTATAACTCTACGATATCCACGTACGATAAAAATTTGACGGTCTCACCAGTGATCCAAGTACGATAAAACGAAATAGGGAGGAAAGGATGTGAATACTTACAACGGGTTCCTTGAAAAATAACAAGGACAACAACGACTAATGGTGGTGTCGATCGATTCGAATCGTAAGCCTCCACGAAACCACGTCTCAACCTCTACTCAGCTCACCCGATTGATAGCAATATTTTCTTTTGAAGTATGTTGAAGTTGCATGCTTGTATGCTCATGCATGGTTGGTTGCTGGTTCATGTGCATGGATCGTTCTAGCTATAGATGTAGCTGATATATGCTATTTGGAGTTGCAGCATTTAGGTTGTTAGTCGGTTAGTTTTCCTGTTAGACTAGTCAGTTAGAATTCTTGTTAAGTTCTTGTAACCGTGGTGGCTATATAATGCATGTAAAGGATGATGTTAATGACAAGGAAGAAAGCATTTACTTCTGAATTGAATTTTCTTAGTACAAGACTTGTAGCTCTCTCAACATGGTATCATTCGCTATTACATCCTACGGTGTGCTTTTACTGTTCGTGCTGCTATGGACAAAAGTGTTTCATTTATAGCCACATCAATGGAGTTCTCGTCAAGAAACACCAAATTGTTCACCAACAAAATGGTGAACGTGGTCATTGTGTTGGGTCCGTCGGCACACCCCACGGCGCAGCGGAAACAAAACTCGATGGTGTCACCAGTGATCCAAGTACGTAAAACCTAAAATCGGGAGGAAGGGATTCGAATACTTACAATGGGTTCCTTGAAAAACAGCAAGAACAACAGTGAATACTGGTGGTGTAGATTGATTCGAATCGTAAGCCTCTACGAAATCACGTCTCGGCCTCTACTTAGTTCACCCGATTAAGAGCAATATTTGTTTTCCCCAAAACTGTTTTGAGAGAAAATGGCTGAAGGTTTATGTGTGTGTTAAAAATGGATGCTAGACCTAACACATCCTTTTATATCCATTACCCTAACATCTTAGGGTTTTCAAAGTTATTTTGAATTAACAATAAAATATTATTTAATTAATTCAATTAAATATACATTAAAGACTTATAATCTGAATTATAATCTTTAATGTTTATTTAAAACTTATTTAATTATTCCAAATTATATATACCAATTAAAAGAGTTGTAATCTAAATTACATTCTTTTAATGCTTACTTACTATATTCAGGATAATTAAAATCATATGTATATCAAATATACATATCATAACTCTAGATATATTTTCGTAACATACAACAAATTGTACATTTTTGCTCATTTCAATCCTAGGGTGTGACCCTGTAGGTTCTTGTAACGTTAGTAGTAATTATTAGAACAATTTTAATATTACATACAATGAGTGACATCTAACAATATATCATTGTCACCTATGTTACAAGAAATTATGATTCGACATATCATCATCGTGATTAACTCTTTTATGTATTACATCCTTTTGTCCTTTATATCTAGAATAGGCACAAGTCTTAGAATAGTCACACTTGTATAGCCCATCTATTGTTTCTTGATATCTAGAGTAGACTATAATTAACGAATATGATATCCCATATCAAC